GGGGTTTCCCGACATGTCGTTTCAGTAAATTAAAGGGTGTTTCATGTTGTCGTTGCTGTGGGACTTCTTAATACCTTGGAAAATGCTGTTTAATACTTTTTAATAGCCTTATTTTTCGCTAAATTGACTTATCAACTTTTAATACTTCTTAAGACCCCGCGGACACCCTGATAATAACCTTTTGGATTATCATAAGTTTGTTGCATTGCTTTCCTATGAGAACCAAATAGTTACACTGGACAGTTAGGGTGCGTAAATAGTTTTCTACAAAGGTACTAAAGCCGTTAGTAAAACAGCAAAGGGAAGGTAAAGGGGAAATACAAAATGTCTACAAGCTCAGCTCTTGAGTAATCATAATCCTTTACTCTTCACTGTCCATCGTACCTTGGTCTTGTCGCACTTTGCGTAGATGTCGGCCAGCTGCTGGAAGACGGGCATGGGCTCGCAGAACTGCAGCGCCCGCTCAAACACTTTCTTCAGACTCTCGTCGGTGCCGTACAGGTTCTCCAGGTTCAGCAGCGCCACCCACACGTTCAGCTTCTCCTGCTCCTCTCTGCAGACAGGACAAAAGTTACATAAATATAAATCAATAATATGTTATTAAACCTTCCTGGGCACACCCTATTGCAACAGATATGCACATATTATCTTATCAGCCCAAGAAATACTTGTTTTAATTATTAAGGATTATAAACATTTTTATATATAAAATATTTGTGCCCCTATCTGTCCCTTTACTGCAATTAAAAACACAATATTTCTATACATTACTGTGGGGAGATGATATTTTCCATCGTACCCTTCTTTCTAATATTTGGTCTCTTCTCTGTTTATGTATGTTCCAGGCTTTTTTTGTTATTGCAGTTATCTGAATTTTGCCACAGACTGCTGACTCAGCACTCCTTATTGTACACAGACTATGTAGGGGCTCAAAACTCATTTTGACATTGGGCATGTGCAAATTAATTCCATACCTGATTTGTTATGATCCATTAAAGTTAGGCAACCGTTTGTTTTTATCGTGGCCTCTATCTTGACTGCCAGGAAGGACGATTGAGAGTTTGAAATCGTCTTGGTTTTGGAGGGGAGAAACACTGAGCAGATCTGTTCTCTACTGATTGACCTTTTTAAGATTTGATTGATAGATGGACACTTATCCCTGCTGTCTTTTAATGATCTCCATGTAAAATAAATGGAACTGAATAACACTGTTAAATAGCTAAAAACTTCTTTAACCACAAGTCAATCACCTGAAGGAGATGGTTTTGAGGGCCCTCTCGGCCACGGCGCGGGCCTGCTCGATCTGCGTGGCCTGCAGGTGGTTGGCCATGTACTGCAGCCACAGCAGGGAGCTGTCGGGGGAGGCGAGCAGCAGGCGCTCGAAGGCGGCGGCGTCCTCGGGCCGCAGGCTGGGGTTCATCAGCTCCGTCTCCCGCTGCACCAGGGCCTTCTCTGCCGCCTTCTTGTCCTGCTCCAGCTCGTGGCGAGTCTTCTTCTGGGTCTGGTGGAGGAGAACGGTGCGCCAAGAACAAAATGAGTCATGATGGTAGAACATTTTCAGGTTCAGAGATTGGAGGAGACTTCTAGAGATAATATTTAGGCTGCAAACCTATAATGATGACAGAAAGTTGTATTCCTTTTGTCGCTGCTGCCTTCCTTTGTTTCCATCAAGCCTTAAACAGACACTTCTAATGACTTCTCTTTCCTCTATATGTATTCATTACAGTTGTGATAACTTGTTTGCCTTCCAATGATATGTTGTGCCCCTCGTGTATAATCACAACAAAATAAAAACAATTCCACAAACATCAAAGAAAATAGGCCTTTGCAATAGTCAAACTCATGCAAAACTAAAAGAAAATAATAAACGACTTAGATCATATTCCTTTTTTTACTTTGTGTAGTATGCAAAACGACATACTAAAAACTGTGGCATCTTTCACACGTTGCCTATCTCTGTGTCTCTTAAGAGGCTGGGTCCGTGGGATATGTAGTTTTTTAGGCCCTTTTTACAAAACAAAAGACTGGCTCCAACACCTTAAATAACCAGAAGATTCTTTATGATGAGCTCACCTTGCTGCTTCCATCTTCGTCCTCTCCCTCGCTGGAGTCGCCCTCCTGCGCTACAGAGGCCGGCTTCAGGGAGCTCAGTCCCACGTCCCAGGAGAAACCTGCTGCCAGCTGCAGTCTGGACGGAGCTTCTGAGCTCTGAGCCACCTGCAGAGAGACAGAGGAGGGACATGTATTACATTTTTCTGGATGATGATATTACTGTATTGAATACTGCGCTGCATTGTATTCACTTACTTTCAAAGAAACAGATTTGGTTACTTCTTCCTTATCCTCCTCTTCTCTGAAGTACACCTCCACTCCGCTGTCGTTCTCATCACTCTTTGATTGCTTTGTCTTCTTCTTCTTCTTCTTCTTTGAGACGGTGGACTCTTCTGGTGTCTGGGAGATAAAAACCAAAGTCAATACACACATTAAGATTAAATATACTGTAATAAAATAACCAGGGTGAATATTCTCAGAAAAAACTTAAAACGTATACATTTGAGAAAGAATGTTATATTTATTATCAAAGAAAACATGTTTTTTGTCAGGAAACCACATTGCTTGCATTGTATAAAGTTCAGTAAAGAAAATGGCTTTATCATTCATCCGTCTAGTACATTTTGGTTCCTGATGTACAAAATCACTAAGTTGTTTTTCTATAAATAGGCCCAATTCACGCATGTCTCCTCAGAGTCCAAATGCCTTTAAAAAAGGGCCATATTTTGCTCATTTTAGTATTTCTGCCATTACTGTGACATGTTACCATGTTTTAATGTTCAAAAGGCTCTTTATTTCTCACATACAGTCTGCACTGATTGGTTAGCTGGCCAGCTCTGTTGGGATTGGTCAACCATTTCTTTGTTTCTTTCAAGCTGCTGAGTATGGAGAGAGTTTTGACTTGAGGCTGAGATCAGTGCAGCTTGTATTACTTCCGGCCAAAATGATAATGAGCAGGTCATAACGTATAAGTGTTTTTTTCATTACAGAGGGCAGTTAACCTCCAGCAGCTGAGAAGTAAGTCCTCTAAAGTGTGTTTACTATTTAATGTAAACAGCAGGAAGGAAGGAAGGAAGGAAGACACTTAAGTGAGAGGATTCCGAGGCCGTTTTTTACCTTTTCGCTCTCAGATGCTGCACGTTTCCTCCTGTTCAAGTCGTGCTCCTTCTTCTCCTCTCCGAGCAGACGCAGCGGCAGGCCGAGGGACTCTGGGAGGACGTCTGGCTTCCCAGTGTCCTCTGGGAGCAGAGAGAGGTGGACCAGCTCCTCCTTTGTGTCAATGCTGAGGACAAGAATAGAAAAAGAGCCCAGGATGAAAAAACGATGACAGCAGTGATTCTATAATTAGCCGATACCTGAAGCTGCAAGGGGATAGACAAGGAAAGACACCCGATCAGCACTACAGCGCCACTGTCTTCCTGTTTGTCCAAACCACTGTCTAGCGTCAAGTATGATGACTTATTTCTTTCTCTATTTATATCCAATAACAGAATGGAAATCTATGGAAATGCAGATTGCACTTTTGTAACTTTTCTTTAATAGAAAATGCAATTGTATGGACATCAATTACAAAAATCACAAACAATTATAAACTGTGCAATTAGCCCTTTTAAAAAGGGCTAATTGGCCTATTCTCTATGTATTTTTCTCCAAACTATTTATGAATCAGTATCTTTTTACAAAAAGGTGTATTGGATTAATGTCAATATAATATGTTTGAATATGTTTTTCTTTTGTCTGAAATGTTATATAATCTATCCAGAAAACTGTGTGTGTTTGTCGCTGTTTGTTCCCGTGCGAGTGGTGTGACATGAACCATAGTGTGGCACATAGGTTTGACCGACACAGGGTCGCCTAACTGACACTGAACGATGGTGAGTCCAAAAGCAAAACATTGCCCAGTTCATGAAATCACATCTTTAGATAATCTGTTCCTTCCTACCTGATGACCTTGATGGTGAGCAGGCTGTTGGGGGTCAGGTGATCAGAGAGGACCTTGTGGTGGTTGACAAAGTATTTGGTGGACTGTTGAAGTTGTGCTCTTCCTGTGATGCTCGCTGACAACCTGGATGACAAACATGTAGAAGAAGATGATGCTAAATACTGAAACAACTATTGAAACGACATTTCCCAGAGACATTTGGATAATGTTGTCACCACGCAATCTATAAAAAACATCTGTCGAGTCTGACGCAGATCAGGCTCAGTGCTGCATGAATTCCCCATTTACCTGATGAAGACCCCCTGCTCTCCCACAGACTTGACGTAGCCCCTGATGATCTGGCCTGCCGTCAGTTTGTCTAAGGATAAAACCTCCGGGTCCTTCGCCGGCTTGGTCTGCTTCTGTTTGAGTCTGGAAGAGCAGAGTTACAGTGAAACAAATGCTGTGATATGATGCAACTTATTAGACACTCCAACCAAAGGTGCTCATACCTCGATGGACGTAAAGACAACTGCCACTTTCCATTTTCTTCCCCGAGAAGGAAACATCTGAGGCAAAAAGAAAGAAAAATAAAGATACATTGGGGATGCTGGTAGTTTACATTGCCTTTACATGTATTACTATAAGCAGGGCTGAACATAACTGGTGCGCATGTGCGCGAGAGAGAGAGAGAGAGAGAGAGAGAGAGAGAGAGAGAGAGAGAGAGAGAGAGAGAGAGAGAGAGAACGCTTGCTTGCTTGATTTATTTATTTATTTGCGAGTGGCATATGAACTCAGGGCCGGCCTGTAGCACTGGCTAGATGTTTGCCTAGGGCGCCAGATCTGGGGAGGCGCTGCGCTGGTAGTTCTGGGAGGGAAAAAAACATTTTTGGCCGTTGGTGCTCATCCTAATTTTCGGCCTTGATGTAACAATATTCATAATTAAGTAAATGTAACAACCTTTTCACCCCGGTTACACGTTTCATTTGCCCTGTACGATGGGCGCTGTAAGTGATGAAAATGGGGGATGTTGGCTTATCTGGCGCCCGCAGCTCACAGCCAAAGTGCGAGTGAGCGAGGGAGAGAGAGAAGGGCATACCGCCCGGTACCAGCGCTGTTGTTATTAGAATCTGGTGCTAGCTGCTTTAACGGATATAAGAAGAAGATGCGTCTACAATAATGTGGAGGGAGAGTCCTCTCCAGTCAGACTGAGAGGCTGATAACTACAGCTCAGTGAGGTAAAGGACTCTTGACCTGTGTTTCGATGGTTCACTTTAGTCTAAGTTCAAACGGTTTGGTCCCAATTTATGTAAACACATATTTCCAAGGCACTCCTTTATAATTATTGGGATAAACAGGTTTGAAATCATTCCAATGTATACTATAGGACCGTAACCAAAGATATCCTTTAAAACTGGAGAGATACAAAAAATAAAATGCATAAATAAATAAATATTAAGGTAAAATAAGATATGAATGAACACCACAAATAAAATAAGTTACATTCATTTGTTATTGGCTATGGTAGGTTATTGGTTATGTTCATATAATTATTTGATTACATCCACTTGTCTAAGATGACAGAGACTTTCG